TATCTTGGAATACCTGTAACTTAAAAATAACATAGTTATTAATCAACTTGATCAAAAATGTGAAAAGAATTGAAGAATTACAATATAACTTATATTGACCTCGTCTAATTTCTCAGTAACCCCTATCTCAATAATGTCATTCATATAGCAAATGACATAATATCCGCATTCAACACTCTCAAATTGACAACGCTACTAACAAAATGAAATATAAAATTGAATATCTGACTTTGATTATCTAAAAAAATTTATAAACATTAACTTTGATTATTGAAAAGATTTATAAGCATATACTTAGCTCGAAACAACATACTTGTGAAGAATTCATGTTGGTGGTGGCTTATTTTTCTCCTTGGCCACAATAGTAAAACTACAAAAAGCCCTATCAGCAAGAAGAAGAAAATGATATTAGAGCAAGTTTTTGTAAACTTTACACGCAATAAATATATAAATATAAACCCATGTGTCAATGACATCTTTAGTTTCTTCTTGTGGACCTCCATGTAGGAAATTGAACTAGTAAACTTTGTTATCAAAAGGGGCAAAAACAATGAGGATCCAATGATAATTGCAAAATGCGAATCATGTTAATTATAATCCTATATATATAACTTGTATATCTCAAATACAATAATATACTTACCCTTCCACAAAAGGTGCAAAATATAATTTCTTTTTCGTTTGAGTCATTATAGTCATCATGTAGATCGATCTTGCTTCCACAGTATTTATTATTTTCTGCACCTTTTGAGGACACATAAAGCCATATGTGCCCTCAAGTTCTCTATCCTGGCAAATGTGAGTAAAGTGCCTATTGTTCAAATAAGAAATATTAGGACATGCATAAACATAGCATGAAATAAGAAAATGAGATGGTAACTTACAAAATAGCCAGCTGCATGAAGACTATATCCAGCCCCTCAAAGTTGAGGAATTGAACAAGGTCCTTCTTGTCAAAGATGAAGTCATATGTTAAATCTGAATCCACAATCCCCAACGGTATTTTGAAAGTAAGTGGGTTTTCCAGATTTTCCACCATGGAATAAAAAAGCCCTAAACTTCCATACATAACCCCAAAGTGAGTAGAAAGAGGTCAAAGGACAAGATTTGCACTCTTTATTGCCTTCTTCGCTGTCACTTTCTTTGCCATTGCTACTGGCTTGCGAAAAAATCTTTTTGGCCACAAAATGAAATTTCTTTGAGTCTGAGCCAATAGTCAAACCTCATCAGTAGGGTTAGGCACTAGTGTACCACCTTGACCATTACGGACTTTATCCACTGTCACCCTTACTTGATCTTTTATAACTTTCTTACCATGGATCGTTATGCTTGAGAATGCTCGAACATTAGTGACATGACAAGATGAACCTTCAAAATCTACATAGAGAGCACACGGTAGTCCATTGTCTTGGGTAGGGTCAGGGTCAGATAATGTAAGCTGTTGTGTCTAATTATTACTACCTTTCCCGCTTTTAATCATAGGTGACCCCTGAAATATAGAAAGAAATTACTTACGGCACATTAAATAAGTTTAAATGGATAAGCGAACCTTGAGAAGATATGCCATTATTACCTGTGAAGGTTCAAACACTCAAAGCATCTGGAATCTGATTGTGCCTATTATCATCATAGCCTGTTGAAACTTGGCATCAAACTCCTCACGAATCTTTTGAATCTCTACCTTGTATTTTTGAATGAGGTAAGCTTGAACTCTCTACGTTTCTTCTTGTAATCCCTGGTCAAGCTCCTCTTTAGATACCATGTCAACGGAAAATGAACCTGTGCTTTTTCATGAATCAAGGCCAAAAAACTATTTAATACTAATCCCTTTAAGGGCCTTTCTAACTCTACTAGGATGGTCAACCTTTCCAATCACAGCGACCAAGATATCTATCCGTCCATGAAGAACGAATGTACCTTGGGATACTTACTTCTCAAGTGTATCCTGTAACATAAAAGCAACAAATTCAATTTAAGATAATTGATAAAAATAGTTAATGAAACATAATGTTTGACATTACTTACAATCTTCTCAGCAACAGTAGCAGTCTCTAGAGGGATATATTGACCCTTTTTAATCCTCACCGCCTTTTATTTTTCTTAGCGAGAAGGACACTGGATAGGTATAATGACTCTAGTAGGGTCTGAAGTAGCAACCATCTATGCAGCCTATAAATGCTCCTCCATCATACTTCTTTCCAACCTACTTTACCCTCCTCCATCATACTTCTTTCTATTTTTCTTGCTTTCAAGTTCATCAACTTCAACACGGTTGTCAACCTTGTGTAATTATTTTTACATCTTGGGTGCAAAGGTGTCTCTACATCATTACACAAGCTTTCATATATAAGAGAGAACTGTGCAAATGACTCAGACCTTGTGTCACAGAATATATCCAAAATTCTTTCACCAAAATCATTATTCATAACCTTCTTCTTTCTAAACAATGTAGTCTTTCTAATTTTGCCATACCATATCCAATTTGTATACCTTAAATTTATCCCATCACAGATAAGATGTTCTCTTATCTCAGGAATACTCCGCCAACTATTATTTAAGCATTTGACACAAAGACAACAATACAAGCCATCTTTTTTACTATGGGTATTTCTCTGAACAAACTCAAGAAACCTTTCAACACCGTCCTCATATTCTTTGCTAATTCTCTTAGCTTTCATCCAACTATGATCAATTGCTCTACAAAGTCAATGAGCATAGTTGTACTGTCAAGCTCAATTCTAACTGCTTAATTTAAATATTCAAATAAATAAAATAATTAAGTATTAGTTAATAAATTAAAATTGACTAACACTTAATTACAAATTAAACAGAATGTCTTTTTTTATTTATAAAAATTTCGACAAAATTTTTCTTTAAATATAATGAATCCAAAATTATTTAAACAATAGACAAACAATCAATCAACAAACGAACAATATAATAAACAAATACAAGATAAATTTGAAGAACTATAACTAACAAAACAAAAGTAACAATCTCAAACCAATTTAATGAATAAATATTCTTAAAACTAAAACTTTTGAATCCAAAACGGAAACACAAATGATATCCATTTGCCATAAAATTTTGAACAACACTTTATCATCAATCAAAGTTTATAACAAAAAAGAAAATTGGCCAAAACACTTAAAAAATTATTTATCGGTAAATTCTCAAGGTTATTACAAAAATTTGAATTAAAATATCAAAAAATTATTAAAAAATTTACAAACTTAAGAACTAATCAACTTTGAACATTTAAACATGTTTTTAATGCTATGTATAGGAAGTAATTGAGGTTTTCTGATTCTAAATGTCACCAACCAATCCCTCAAACACATAAGATACGCAAAATAAATAATGCAAGACATCCAAAATGTAAAACCAATCAACCCATTTAATTTGAAATACAACAGATTTCTATTATCAAAACATTCAAGACACCAAGAAAAAACAAAAAGAATGAATGAAGAGAAAACTCACTCAGTGGGAGATGATTAGAATGTAAGAAGAGGTGATTATACAAGGCGAAAGACGGCAAAAATCAACAACGATGCCAATGGAGGACCAAACACGACAAAAAACGGCGAGGATTTGCCAAAAATGAAATTTGGGTTGTGGGACAGAGGGGGACCATAGCACTCTATACTATGAAACTGTGAAAAAGAAAACGCGCGATAGGGTTAAGTTTGTACTTTCAACATAATCACCATAGAAAGTGAAACGTCATACCTTTTATTTACAAAAATGCCACCGCCTTTATTCCACAGTGTTTTTCTTTTCATCGCCGTTAAATTGCGACGTTATTTTTTTTTTTTTTGGTAGTAGTGTTTGGATGGAAAAAAATTAGAAGAAAGAAAATGTGAGGAAAAGAAAGGGGAAAAAGAGAAAATTAGAAAGAAAATACCAGAAAAGACCACCATCCCTCTTGATTATATGAACGAGGAAAAAAAATGAAAGAGAGAAAGAGAACGATTAATGATCTCTCTTCCAAACCAAATTTATTTAATTATTTAATTAAATTATAGGATTTTTTTTCATTAGGGGGAAAAAGGAGAGAAAATTAAAGGAAGAAGAGGACAATATATTACCAAAGGAATTCAAATCATTTATAAAAATACCTTCATTTGTGACCGGACCATCCATTTTCAAGTCCATTAAATTTTTTTTTTTTTTGGGTTTGGTGATTCGGGTAAATCATTTTTGTTGATTTGTTAACTAAAGGAATTCTTTTTGCTATTGTACAGGCCAAAACTACTTATAGTACTTCTGATAAACTAACTAACAATGATCTGATAATATGATGCACATTTATAATCGATTTATATTTGATAACCACTAATATTATCCCTCATCTGCTGACATTCTGAAGTAATAGTTTATCTCTTAATAATATTCTGAATTATTCGATCAACATCTCTCTATGTGCAATAAACACTTTTTTCTTCCACTTAAAAATTTGAATTGTTTTGCAAATGTTTAAATCTGATTTTCTTCTCAAGAAATGGTCAACACTTATAAAACCAGTTTCAACGCTTACCACCTTGATAACCATGCTAAGGTCATCAGATCTTGATCATCTATATCTAATTTAAACGGTTCAGATTTAAAATCTTTAATTAATTATTTTTTTTAAAAAAATCATTCGAATAGTTATGAGATTATCTCTGTTTTAGATTTTATACATATTAAAATAATTATTTTGAATAAATAAAAATAAAAAAGAATTCAAATATAGACCATCAAAATAAGATATGGATCCAGATCTGATGAGTTTACAGTGAGCACCGAAACTAGTTCCCAGCACTTACTGAGCAATGCATCTCAAATGTTTGACCTCTTCTAACTTTGGGTATAGATGTCTATATCAAATCTTTTCCTCCTGGTTTTCTTACTCTCCTGTCCTCCTGTCCTTTTTGTTTTTGGTCTTTTAATTATGTATGAACTATTGAACTGCTTGTTTTATAATATCATTTTGATCTTTTTATCAAAAAAGAAAAGGAGATTGAATTTATCAGCTCATTGCAAAAACAGCAAGTCATGAGACACAATCATTTATGTGAGCTACACATATATATAGAGCACTGTTTTAATGCTTTTATATATACATCACCAAATACATACATCATAAGCAGGATTCTGGTTCAATCCTTCCCAACGAACTCAAATCTTTTCTGCCTGTTATTTCATTATCTTCATCTGCTATGCATCTAGCCACTCTTTACACAAAACATGTTCAAATTCATGAAACAGCGGTGAGAAGATGAATACCGGGAAGATAAGTACATCTGAGGAGCAGAATTAGGAAGATATGAGCATTCATGAATTTCGACCCCCCAAAGTGCACTTGTAGAGAGAGATAGACAAAAACAAAAAGATGGGTCTCACTTTACTTCTGTGGGGGGGCGCATAAGTAAAAGTGAGGCCCACCTCTTCAGATGATGTGCACATCAATACTTGAAATTTTCACCAACCTTGTTCAAGAATTCATCAAGCAAAATAACATGATGAAGAGCAAAGAGAATATGAATATTGGGAAGTTGAAGAGGTTTAGAGAAGCAGAACTCGGGAGAAATGGGTATGAATCAGGTGGTGGCAACATGCACTCATCACCATTGAAGTAAACCTTATGAGGGAAAGCCCAACCCTGCTTGAAGGTAAAAGTATCCTTGTTCTTCCTCATAAGCACTTCAGATTGAACATTCCCAGATGGCCCAGCTTCCATCAATAGATCATTATAATACTTCATGCCAAAGAACATAGCAGTATCATCTGCAAAACAAAACCAGTTTAATCAATCCATTTCAGTTTTGGGATTTTTACTCTTAGAAGAAGAAAGAATTTGCAGAATGATAAAGTTGCTGATATATATATACTTACTGACAGACTCGTAGGGAACAAGAGGCTTGTAATCGAAGCTGAAGACTTGTGTGACATTATTGAGATTTGGATGTTGCACAGCAAGAGTCCAAAGGGTGTAATTCATCTTGTAATTGAAATTTGTTATGGCAATCTTGACTCGCCAATAGTCTTTATAGTTGAGCTTCACGTGCCAATGCACTCTGATAGGGCACATGTGATGAGTACACTGTAACAACTGGTCATTGTCCTTTTTTGTAGTGTGAAGCCCTTTATCGCCGCGGAATTTGGAGCCACTCCTATGTTACAAAAACACAAATATAATAAACCCAAGTGAATAATTAAGTAGATGATGATATTTTTGGAGTTGTTAATTAGTTGTGGCGTTTTGAGGTTTGAGTTACTTGACACAGTTCTTCTTGTTCTGGCAGCCACAAGCACAAGCTGTACATGGTGTGATTGTGTCGTTGTAAAATGATGACAAAGACACACAGCAACTTGGGTTCTTTCTTGCAAGGAATTGGGAGTAAGTGCAGGTTACGTTCCATGTCACTGCAATAAACACGAGAGGTCAGACTTTAGAACATGAGAAAGCGACATTTCAACTTTCATGACTCATAATATTGATAAAGGAATTTAGAATTTGAAACCACTCTCAAAGATGTTTTCCAAAAAAAAAAAAAATTATCATTGATATATCCCACAGGTATTTACTATGTTTGTACGGTTACAAAAAGCAATCATATTCGTATCAGCCACAACCACATGGCTCTGATCTGCACTTTCCCAACATGCAGCAATCCAATGACTAAAATTATTACTTCCTCGTATCCTAAACATAAAAACTAGTTGCACACTAAATCTAAAAATCTTAATGTACTTTGTTTTTTAAATTTATAATTTTTTTCAAGCTATTCCTATTTGCAATTGATCAAAAAAGCTATCTGAGCTAAATCAACATAAATTTTTGGCAAAATCACAAAAAAAGACCTTGAAAATAGAAAATTTCCAAATAGGAACCCATTACAACATTAGTATGGGTTTTGACAACAATTGATAAGCAAATGACAATAATTTTTGTGAGTATGTCCTTGTATGCAACTTTTCAATTTTTAAGGTTTTTTTTTTGTGATTTTTCCTAAACTTTTTGTTGGGTGAAAGGAAAACAGTAAAACATTGAAGGGAATGAAGCAGATGCTTGAATAAATTAACCAATGTCAAAGCTTCTATAGGCAAACGGCAACTGGAAAAGGGCTAGAATATATCAACAAAGATAGGGTGGAGAAAAACTGAGATGAGAAGGTGTTAACATGGCCCACTTCTGACTTATTCAACAAATCTGAATATTAAACAATAATTAAATAATTGATCCTTAAAGCACATGACTTGAAGCGACACTCATCAGTTTTAACAAATAACTAAGTTAACAAATTTTATTAATAATAAGATAGAGTAACAAAGGAACTTACTGAGAGCTTGAGTCTTTCGGCGCTTATCGGGAGTAAGAAACACAGTAGAAGGAACAACCTTAGCAGGGCCACAAGTATAACCAGGACCAGGAGCAAGGAGAGTGAAGTTCTTAGGCAACTTAACAGTCTTATTAGAAGTACCAGCTTGGCCAACACTGACCTGAAAGGAAGAGATGGCCCCAGCAGGGTCCTGGCCCCACGCAGGGATGACCCCACCTTTGCAACAGTTTGTGAATTGCTGGTTGTAGGGTACCCCAGGAAGGAAGTCCACCACTGTTGGAGTCTTCTTGCAGCAGTGAGGGACATTGCCTTTGAACTTGGAACAGTCTCCTTGCTCTGTGGTTTGAGCTCCAACCATTGACCATATCACTTCCTTCTTTGCCCATGACCAACCCAAGGTCCAGCCTGGGTTCATTATGTGACGGTACATTTGGAAGTTGTGCATTGTTACTGTTGCCTGTTTCGTCATTTTGTAACTACATATAAATTATACATACACAAACCATATAGTATGCCACACGTATGAAGTAAACGTGACGTCCAGGAGGAGAGAGAAAGAAAGAGATATAGGGAGCCCCATTTGACATGTGGGGCCACCCAAACCTGTATATCTATTTTTTTCGCCCTCTACCTTTTTGGTTTTAGGCCTAGAATGAAATGTATTTGGTACATGGGTTTTCTCAAGAGAATGACTGAAATTTTATAGTCATTTTCTAATGAACAGTTGACACTAAAGAAGAGAAGCTGTGCGATGCTCTTCTGAATCACAGCATCGCTCTGTAGTTACATGAGTGTCAATTTGTCTGATCATTTTAAGTGAGTGAATGACAAAAGTATCTTCCAAGAAATGAAGATATACAGGAGAAAAAGTAAACAAGAAAAGAAGATCCAGTTTAAACTTTTGGTTTTAAATGATATGACATATATGTACAATGAAGACAGTCATATAACTTGAACTGGAAAAACGATGGTATGGAGTATAGACCTAAAAATAAGTAGTCATGTATCACTTTTTTTTTTTCCCAATCCACTCTGTTTATTTTTAAAACTTCATTTTGTTTTACCGAATTGACATATAGCCAAAGCTTCCCTCATACTACAGGAAAAATTCCTGTTATTCTCAAGTCTGAATCATACAGAACCCCCAGAAAAAATGGAAAATCGAATTAGTTGGTTCCATCTTCTACAGATTCATACGAATAACATTGACATTGGATCTATATCAGGTGACTGGGTCTATGTATCTAAATGAATTTTTTTTTTTTTTTTGGAAGTACTTACCACATAACCATCAGCTGTCCAAGACATGACATCCCATTTGATCGTTATATTTCCATTTGGATCCAAAGGATCATAAGCCCCTATAATGAATTGACCACAAACCATTAATCAAACACCTAATAGACATCAGAAGAAAACGGAAAGCCCAGCAAATCAACAAAAAACAAAATGACGAGTCTTGCATGTATGTATCACCTGCATGGTAAGAGAAGAAAAGAAGAAAAGAAAAAACAGAGAGAACAAGAAGAAGCCTCATTGTCGCAGTGATGAGTTTTGAAGAATCATGAGCTGTTCTGCAGATCAGAGAGATATTATTATTAACATGGCTTTATGGGATGAACGAGCGTTGTGTGTAGTAAAGAAGAAGAAGGTTGAAGTTGAAGCGAATGTATGTTGAGAGATGGCTTAGGCTTACCTAATGGTTGTTAGATAACTTAGCTGGAGATTTTTAATTCGATACAGTGAGTGAGTGTGAGTTAGAGATATTTATGTCTGACTTATAATTGCCATATTTTGAAGTTAACGTCCTCCCGCACCAGAATAGGCGGCATCTGTAGAGTAAATTTAACATTAACACAGTAAGGTGGCCTGTCATGGATTAGGCTTACTAAACATAACAGACCACTCTAACCATTTATATAATATATATTTGGTAGTAAGAAATTTCTACGATGAGCAAAGTACATTAAGATTAAAGCGGGTTTCACAATTCAAACAGTCCGATTTCAATACACTTTTATGGGCTAGCGGCCTCTAATGTGCATTCCTATAATGCTCTTGAATGCCTTTTAAAATGTCCTAACTTTTTAAATATTATTTTATTTCTTTTGATCGTTAGGTTTTACGTAAAATAAATGATGTTTTGATATCTTGTAGACGTAAAATGGTGCAGTTTTGATTTTTTTTTTTTATGATCTTTCACAAAAAAAATTGCACAATTTTAAAGATTTTTTAAATCATAAAAAATTAAAAACTGCACTACTTTCTACCAATAAAATGTCACACATTTTATGTAGAATATAATAATTAAAAGAAACAAGAAGAAACTTTTGGAAGGGTGGAGCATCGCAAATTAAAGAGCATTAGAGAAAGGTACATTAGAGGTCTCGAATCCCACTTTTATGAGATATGAATTACATCCCTATTCAGGTAAAAAAAAAATTACATCTCTATTAATTGAAACAACTTTTTATATTTAATTTCAATAGATTAAAATTTCATATATATTTTTATATTTTTTGAAGAGTGATTTTTTTAAGTTTTTACTCAGAATATTAATTTTTATTATGTTGTAGATTTTTAGTGTAAAAATCCTAAAATTAATACACACACGCAATACTTACCCACACCCAAAATTTGGATTTTTTTTTCCCTATCAAGGGCAAAATTTTTCATCAAATTCAATATGATTGTATGCGTGATAGCATCTAACATATTAGAAATATCAATGAAACTAATTATTGAAAGTGCTCAGGATACTTTTTTTTAGGTTCTAGAATCTATTTCTTAGTTCAAGATCCCTCTTAATAACTGGAATCAAGGAATTAGTGGATCTGTTCTGTCTAAAATGGGAATGGGCTAAGGAACCGAGGTTGAAAAGATTAATAAATAGAACCATCTGATTTGATTCATTATCAATAGCTAAGAGATGATCATCTTAAAGTAATCCTTTTGTATTGTCTAGGTGTAATATTACAAGAGGACTCTTAGCGTTGAGCAATAGGAGCAAACAACAAAGATTACCTTTTTCATATTTTACATGAATAATAGAAATCAGCATGATGATCTGTCCCAATAATAGCACGAGCCACCATGCTAGAACAAGGTTCTGAATTCAAATGCAACTTTACATATAAGTAAGCGTGAATGTTTTTAAATTGATTGTAATTAAAGGCTAAATTTTATATATATCTCTGTGTGTGTGTAATGCTGCAAAAAGAAAATGACGAACTGTCTCTTTACGAGAGTTCCCCCTATGGTTGTCATGAAGGGAAGGCATGAGTTTGAAGCAAGCTAGGAAACATGGTAGTAAGTTATTTTCCTCTTCTATTTAATTCGTTTTGTTTTATTTTCTTTTCAGAAATAGATATAAGTCACAATTGCTGCCTCAGCTACATAAAGATAAGACCTTCAATGCTCAAAACTGAAATTGTTTAAAGATGTTGACTCTCACAGTAATCAAACAAAAATCAAATAAATTGTACATACTCTTATTACACTTTTATTAAAATTGTGTATTAAAAAAATAAAACTAATCTATTAGTCTTTATAATTTCACCTGACTTTTAATTAAATCCCTATATTTTCTTTGTTATAGGATCCTTGTAGTTTTTTCAATCATGGACAGTAGCCCATGTGCTCATAATTTGTTAACTAAGATTGATGTAGATGCTATCTAAGAGAAGTTGTCACAAGATAGTGAGATAACTGTAAGTTATTACAAAACGTTATCATGCTCACAATTGTCTCTTTGCATCTATATGTAACCTATAATATCATTTATTTTGATTTTATTTAAGTACATGTGGAAAAATTAATGTAGGTGTATGATGAGTAAGATCCACATTGTCAACTATTCACGTCGTACCAATATATATGCATATAAGGATTTAATTACTAAAAATACAAAATGAAATAACTTTTGGGGGAAAAAAAACAGAGAGAGAGAATACTGGCTTTTTGGGTCACCAAGTAATGGGCTTACTTAGCCCACCTAGTACAGGATGACTCATTATTGAGCCGACCCATTCCAAAGCACAAAACGAATATTATATTTAGGGAAAACCATATTGAAGGTACCTATACTTTCTCTCAATTTTGGTACCTATGTGTTTTTTTTCCTTTAATTAAACATTTAATTTTATCTTTTTAGCAATATTAGCTCTTATAACTTTGTTCTATTGATATTTTTAGTCTCTACATAAGGATTAATGATGTTAATAGAGGAAAAATAAAGATTTAGTTAAGAACAAAAAACACATGGGTACCAAATTGAAAATTAAAAAAAAAGTATAGGTACCTCCAATATGGTTTTCCCTTATATTTATACTGACGCATGTACTCTCTCTCTCTCTCTCTGTGGCATGACCATAATTGGCTCTATTTCTTGCATGTTTATGCATTTGATCACACAGTATGACCCGTTTACTTATGGCCTGTTTGGTTCTTACTTAGAATATTTTTATGAAATGGGATAAATATGTTATACTACCTCCGGTCCTAATTATAAGACCCAGTTGACTTATTTGAGGAGATTAAGGAAGTAAGTTAAGTTAGTTATTTGTAACAAATAAGTGTTATCATTCCTAAAATATCCTTGCTAATTAAGTGTATTGGCTAGAACTATCATTATTATAAGAACTATCTTGGGAAAAAATACATAAATATGAGAGATAAAATGGATTGGGGTCTTATAATTAGGACCAAACAAAAAGTCAAACGGGGTCTTATATTAAGGACCGGAGGTAGTATATGTCATAAAAATAAATACTTCTATTTAATTAATTTGATTAAATTAATAAAGTTAGATTAGTCAATTATAATAAACATGACTTGCTTTTTTAAAAATATTTTAAACATCTTTCATAATATCTTCCTTCCCTCCCTCTTACTTGATTATGTGAGAGTATCAGTAAAGGTGACTTGAGAAAGACTAATAAATATGATAACTAGGTCTTACATTTAGTATTACAATCTACTCCACAATTAAGTCATATGTTAAGGATTGGAAGAATAGATTTTTTTATTTAAAAAAATTTTGTGTTTGGTTGAACAAGAATACCCGTAATATTTATTAAAAATTTTCATATTCTTCCATGCATGGTGAAATGTTTATTATTGCTTTTAACTAGTAAAAATGTTATTCACATATATTTAACAATATATCAAGACATTAATTCTTTTTTTGAATTTGTAAATATTTTGACCATGAGTTATGGGTTGTCTGTATTATGTTGCGCAGGGCCTTCCATGTTTGTTAGATTTTTTAAGTCAAAATACATGGAATCTCCTTCATTTTTAGGTCAATTATAAATGAACCACTTTTAAAAGTGTAATATCCACCTTCTTGTGAACATTGAAATTTAGGAAAGAAAGAGCCAGCTTTTATTATAAATTTTCAAACTTGAAAGATAGAGGGGCCAAGGTGGCAGGGAGAGCAGGGTGTATGCAGCTTCTTATGAACAATGAAATGTGAGCGAATTTAGAAGAAGTCACTACTGTTTGCTAGTGAAGATAATACTAGTAATAAATCTTAAAGAAATATTGATTCGTAACTTTACTTCAGGATAATTTTTTTGTAATCTATGAATAGCAATTTCATATTATTTTTTCCCTATTACAGTTGGGTCTCTCACTTGACATCTCTTTTCTGTGCTTTTTACATAAACTTAATTTTATTCTCAACAAAAACAGAGATTTTTTTTCTTGTTTTCACTAGGCATATGTATCCTCCTATTATAAGCAATTATATTCAAAAAATCATTAGGCACTAGATGCCAGCACTTCTCCTAACAAAGATTCAAACGTTAATTCGCTACGTTGTGAAGGACTAGCTCAATTAGACCCAACCTTCATTCGTATAAGAACGGAGACTTTTTTTCCTCTACTACAGGTAAATATCTTTTTATTGAAAGTAATTCTATTTAAGATACTATCAGATATTAAATATAAGCATTTCTCTTGGTGAAAGTTTAAATCTAGATTTGTCATGTTATAATTATGAAAAACTAGGTTTTTCAGCTAAATCCAATCCCAATCGTAGTAGAAACTTGGTTTTTTAAAAAAAAAAAAACCTTTCTAGCAAAATTTAAGCTATTTCAGCCCATTTGTTCATGAGGGCCAGTTCTTCTGAGAGAGTTGGGCCTGGCCTTTGTTCTTTTTGGATTTGCTCTCATCAGAATGCGAAACAGATTGGTTATCAATTTACGGAAGGGAAGTTTTACGCTTTTACCTAAGAGGATTTCATCTTAAATATAAGCTCTTATCTCTTTTTGCCTTTCCAGTTTAATTTTTGGGGAATTTTTTTCTCATCACATTGAATTTTGGTTATTATATTATAGGATTATTTTTGAAAAATGTCACAGTTCTTTACATATTAATTGCAAGTAAACCCCTCTCCTACTTTGTTTTAGATCCTACGGATTAATTAAGATCAATTCATTTACAACATCAGATGGAACGTCAGATTAGTGCATGAGAAATTCATTCACGATTATGAGTTATCGGATGCGCGAGATAAGATATTTGGATCTTTCGCCATTATTATTTTTTTAAATCCTTTAAGTTTGGAAAA